GCTCCTCTTCGTTGGTCTTGACTGCTATCTGCGAGGTCGTTAATATTTCCATATTGTGCGATTCACATCACGCCTCCGGCACATATTAGAGATAACTTATGTCAGTTTTAAAACGAAGTTGTTTGTCTAATGACTCTGGTTCTCAAATAGAGAAGGTTCCATGTACCAAGAAATGATGAGAGTTGCTGTTGAGATATGTGTGGTGTGGACAGACTTCCGGTGGACAGTATCTCCCAAAATGCCATCTTATCGATTAGACACCTTAACATCTAAAAACGCTGGTTTTGTAGGAACTCTTCTATAGTAGCTTCTCAGGTGCGTGCTACCACAGGACGAAAATGTCATCCACGTATCTGAACTACCATTTTGGTTTTAAAAGTGTATTGTCCATAAGGACTCCATAAAGATGTTGGTGGCAACTGAATAGTTGTTCATAGTATTTTCCATGGTAGAGGAATTGACTTGAGGCAGGCTTCTGTCATATCTCGTTAACGATCCGTTGTGGAGATTTCATCAATAAGACTAGTTTCTACAATTTATAGACTAGTTTACAAAATTTGTGCATTCTTATTGTAAAATAAAAAATAGTTATAACTGAAATCATATTTATTTTACGAGAAAAAATCGACATAATTCAGAAACTAGGTGAAGAGATTTTCGTTGTAATGAATTTTCCTATACCACGTCGTCTTTTTCAAAAGATGATACCACTCTTTGATGATTGCGTATATCTATTAGAATATTTCTATGCCTATACTTGCCAGTAGGGTACAACACTGCAGGACGTATGATGACAAATCGTCTTAATAGTAAGATTATTATAACACACGGTTTTTAATACCTTTCTTAAGTCCACCAGCTTAACACCAGTAATTTCGCTTTTATGTCGTCGTACAACAAAAATACGATTCGTGACATCCTGGTGCATTTGTGTGCTATCGTTGGACATGGATTGGCTAGATATAATATATTTTCTTGCTTCAAATACTACCACGGCTTATTATGATGTGTCGTTCGTCACGGACGCGCAGTAAAAATGGCAAACATTTCAATTTTGGACAGAAATAAAACGTTAAGACGTCAGGCCTGGATAAGTCGATCCCCGTTCGGATTGCCCGGTCTCTCACTAAATCTTCCGCACGAGATCCAGAATCACGTATTCTCCAAACTATTTCATTACGCTCATGTCGAAGAGAACAAATTCTTGACGCTACATGGATTCCAATATTGTGTTGTTTTTGTAAAGAAAACATAAAATCGATAAATTGTGTAAAAGCATGTATGTATAGGATAATTGGTATTGTCTAACTACAATACATTTTTAATTATTGACTTATTTGTACGTGTGGACGGCCATGCGTTTGGTAAATTACAAAACAATGTACCTACCCATGTATATAAACATATATTTTGTCATAATTGTTTTGTTTTATTATGATCCTATTTATTAAAATCTACGTATTGTTTGCATGTAGGTACAGTTTTAACACCTGTTTCGTCAGGTACATAATAATGATTCTTTTAATTGTGTTTAAATTGGTCAGTTTTAATTGAGATTGGTTCAGTAATACGGATAAAAAAATACACATTAACATTCGTGGTGTTAATTAATTAAGAAAATAGTAGGTAAATGTATTGCACGGAGGTCGAAAGATACAATGGGACTTTGGGGAAATTGTGTATTGGGTCATTTCTGTGGTTATTGGTTAGATACCAATTAAAAATGTAGGATGTTATTGAGAATTGACTTAATTAAAAGAGCCTTTTCAATCGGAAATATTCGATTGCGTTTATCGATTTGTATTAGCGGTAATCGATAATGGTTAGGGCCAGAAAGAATCTTGGCGCAATTTCCTTGCGGGAACCCATTGGAACGAGAACGCGTTATTGGACGGACCGTGTCACAATGGGTGCTTAAAAATTTTTATGCGCCATCCGAACAAAACCCATTGCGTCGATAGGTACTTACAAACCAGTTGCGTTCACTTTGATAAAAAGGAAATGAAATGGTCGTAAATCGTAGCAGTAAATAAAAAGGTTGTGCATATTGTCACAGCCACGACCTTCGATACCGAGTCACCAGAAACGGAGGACGGTTTAGGCCAGTTGATTTCGTTAATCGTCATAACCACTCACCATAAAATACGTTGCAATAAGATAGTATCGATTTATTTAACGCATTTTCGAAAAAAGCTTTTGACATTATTACATTGCATGCATTTGTAATCTTGTACTAATAGAACTATTTGTTACGAAAGAATACGTTTTTATTGGGTTAGGTGTTTCATATTAAATCCACAAGATAGGTACATTTTGTAAAAAAACAATAATCCGAGATAAAAATGTTCGGTCTCTCAGAATCTCTGAGAGCGATACTCGAGTCTCCGTCTCTCATCTTCGAATCTCTCTGGTGTCGCTGAGAGTGATTGTCATGAGACTGTTAAAAAACTGTCTGGCGCCTCTGAACGAGAGACTCGAATCTCTAACGAGAGACTGGAATCTCTGAACGAATCTTTCAATAAGTGGTGTCTCGATAAACATGATTAAAATTTCAACATATTTCAGAGATCCCAGTCTTTCTACGAGAGACTCGAGTCTCTCAATTTTTCAGTTTTATTCNTCTCTCAGAATCTCTGAGAGCGATACTCGAGTCTCCGTCTCTCATCTTCGAATCTCTCTGGTGTCGCTGAGAGTGATTGTCGAGAGACTGTTAAAAAACTGTTTGGCGTCTCTGAACGAGAAACTCGAGTCGCTCATAGAGAGCTCCTCATTTTGTATTCAGTCTCTGAACGAGAGACTCGAATCTCTAACGAGAGACTGGAATCTCTGAACGAGAGACTCGAATCTTTCAATAAGTGGTGTCTCCATAAACATGATTAAAATTTCAACATATTTCAGAGATCCCAGTCTTTCTACGAGAGACTCGAGTCTCTCAATTTTTCAGTTTTATTCATTCAGTCTCTCTGTGAGAGACTCGAATCTCTGAACTAACAATTTTATCGTTCGAGTCTCTCATACAGAGACATAAAAACACCTAGGCAATAACTGAAAGACTGTGAGAGACGCTCTGAAAAACGCTGAAAGATTCTGAGAGACTGAAAATTTTTGTCTAGGGAAAACCCATTTCAACGAATTTAAGGTTTTCTTCTGCTTGGAAAATGTTACTTAACTATAGGGTCGTCACTTTGAAGACTCCACTCCTCCTATACTGAGGCAATCTTCCCAGTTTTCATCCACATCCCTAATGAGTATTTGCGAACTTCAGTTATCTAATTTAGGTCATCTGCCCCTCTTTACTCCTGTTTCGAAAGAGCTACAATCTTCACATACCAATAAGTAGGAATGTTGATGAGCGTTAAAAAATTATTGTTCAATCTGCTGGGACGAGCGGTAGATTCCGCAGCACTCAAAGACTAATTAAATGTACGACAATCTACAATGGTCTCTTAGGTTTATTGGTTTTGTGTAACGTTAAAGCTGGAGATCACTTGATACACAAGAATCCATATTATAAATTTATTACGGAAAAATAGAAACGTACATATGTAATTTAAAGCATTTATGCAATTATAAAATGCCAAGCTGATTTAAGAAATGTGTCTGTATTAGTTTATAAAAATGTAAGGCGTAGGTATTTTCCATAGGTACTTATAATTGCAAATCTGTTCACTGTAGATAAACAACGGTAGGTACCGGGATATTAAGGATAAGTATTATATATAAAAATAAAACAATTAGAGAACACCGTTGCGTGTAAATTATAGTAAAGAAATTAGAGGACGATTAATTTCAACAGCGTTTAGGTGGTAGGTAGTTGCTCAATTTCTTTGGGATCTTGCAGGTCTACTATACTAGATTTGTGCCTTATCCAAAAACTTATTAAGGACCTTTTCATTAATTGTCGAATGATTTGTCGGATTAGTTTGTCTATGTCTATGATTTCTTCGAAATTTAATATGTGCATATCATCAGGATAGGAAAGAGTGGAGGTACGTGTCCAACCAGTCTTAGGACTGACGACCTTATGATGGTGATGATGAAGCTGATTTAAGAAATGTGTATTTATTAAAGGAAGAGAAAGTAAAAGATGTTTCGACAACACTGTTTATTTCTCGACAATTGTTTCGACCTCTAAAATTGTCAACAATTGCCGAGGAATATACAGTTTTGTTGAAACATCTTTTACTTTCTTTTCCTTTATTGAAAATGTTTCATCGAGAATACACCGTTGAAAGTTTAAAGTGTATTTATTAGTTTATAAAATGTAAGGCATGGGTATTTACCGAGGAATAAACAGTTTTGTTGAAACATCTTTTACTTTCTTTTCCTTTATTGAAAATGTTTCATCGAGAATACACCGTTGAAAGTTTAAAGTTACNCGCTGAAAGATTCTGAGAGACTGAAAATTTTTGTCTAGGGAAAACCCATTTCAACGAATTTAAGGTTTTCTTCTGCTTGGAAAATGTTACTTAACTATAGGGTCGTCACTTTGAAGACTCCACTCCTACTATACTGAGGCAATCTTCCCAGTTCTCATCCACATCCCTAATGAGTTTACAGCGCCATTTGTCGTATTTTCTATCCGTAATACCATCAACAATTTTAGTTGGAACCTGAAAACCCCTATATAGGTATGGTCCTCATTAGCCACATGAGGCCCGCGCGCTACATGGGGCATGCTGCCTGTAAATTCTAATCTAACAATTTTCTAACAATTTGGCATTTAAGGTGTTGTTTTTATTTATTGCGTCTATCTCGACAGAAACCGGCCGAATTTACATTATATCTTTGAGGATTACGAAACATTTCCGGCCGAATTTACCACTGTAATTAACAAAAACCCATCAACCCGGCCAAATTTACAATCGCCGACAGCGATTTACTGTATCCAATTTACAGTATGATTTTCTATAATGATATAATTTATTTGTTTTCTCAATTTACTAAGTACAATATGATAAACATTAATTAAGATGGACGTGCTTTCTGTTTGCTTACAGACTCTCGAGAGTTTTTCCGGGACCCGCTTTTCCAGGATTCCATCAAGGTGAGATTTCATTTTCGTTTCAGATTTCTATCTTTTCTAAAGTAGTCTTTAATAATTGAAATGACGAGACGTCCACTGGCCATTAAGCAAATAAACATGGAAATAAGTTTATTTGCATTAAAATTTTTTAGCGGCGCAAAATTTTCAATTTACCCACCACTTTAAAAATTGTTAGTCATTTTTATATATCTATATTTCTGTGATAATTTGAAATGCTATATAGATAAATAAACCCGAATTGAATGAAGTCAATGGTAACGCAATAAATATCAGAAATATTCTTCTTTTGTATAAAATATTTTACGTTAACATTTCAACATTTTTCAGTAATATGTTTGTTTTGTCCAACTTTAACAATAACATAGCATCTCTATAACGCTAATATTTTATTTATTGGACAACTTCTAAAAAATATCTGCAAATAATTCTTAAATCACTTTATAACACGTTTTTAGTTATCATCAAATTCATTTTTATGTATAAATTTTTCAAAACTGAATGATGCATATATTAAATTAAAAATACCAATTTCAC